TGGCTCTAGACCCCCGACCCCGTGCCACGGAGGGCTGTGAGCCCAGCCTGTGGAGCCCCCTCCTGATAGCAGACAGAGGGGCTCTTTTAGTGTCTGACCTTCCAGGGGCAAAACAACTCACTGAACACCAGGCCAAGGAGCCAGGAAGGATGGAGGCCCCGCTGCCTGTCCTCAGACTCATTCCCACAGCGGATCCTCATAGTGACTGACGCCACCGTGTGAGCCAGGCCGTGCCTTCATCCGGCGGAGGCCACCATTTGTGCCAAGCCCTCTGTGGGCGCTCCGGGCTGGGCTGCCCCAGCCTGGCGCTGGGTCTCCCTGACCACCTCCCGAGGCCCTGACCAGGTACTCAGACTCTCTCCTGAGAGCCCCCGGCCTCCCCTCACCCACAAGGAGGTGGTGTTCTCCCAGTGCTCCCCTTTGAATGTCTCTTCCCCGGGTCTTGTGTTCCAAATGTGCTGAAACCTCCGGAGGGGTTGGTAGATGAAGGGAAGGAATAGGAAGACCCTCCAGGCCTGGTTATCTCCGTCCACCGGCCTGGTTCCCCGGGGGCCACCGGCCCTGTGGCCACATGACTAACCCCGTGGCGACAGCGGCCTGTGGTTTGGTCTCCCCTGGCGGATTGGGAGGACACTCCTGACCTCGTGGGTCTGCTCTCTCTGTGTAGGGACTTAGCTAAGTGGATCCTGTCCACCTCCCAGACCACCACGTGTAGTTCTCTGGAGGGTATTTGGGCCACGGTGAGACTTTCCCATCCAGGTAGGCCTGACAGGAAACAAGTCCCCGTTCAGGCTGAACCTTGGAAATCCATTGTCCCTGAGCCCTTGTGCCATGGAGCAGTCTGTGGTCCCTTGTGTTGCAGAGGGCAGAGGGAGAAGGTGAGTTTGCTGAGACCCTAACCCGGATCCCCCCCCGCCCAGGTCAGCGGGAACAGGCTGGGCACAGGTCCAGGCCCAGACCCTCTGGGAAAGGCTTCTGTCTTCCTTTCAGTTTTCCTTCGGTGTGAGGACCTGTTTTGGGTTTGGATTTGGATTTTGCTTTCCCTGCCTACGTTAGCATGGCACACCACCACGGGCGGCCATGGTCAGTGCCCCCAGCTGGTGGGCGCCCATGCCTTCCACTCCCCCCCAAGGGATGCAGGGCCCGTGACAAGAGGCCAGAGGGTGTGAGTCTGCAGCGAGACGCTTTCCCTCACGGCCTATAGCCTCCTGCCAAGTCCCCTGCCTATGCCCTGAGCAGATACCCTGGCAGGAACCCCACTCTCAGCACATGCCACCCTGGGCTCAGAAGGGATGGGAAGGCCCCTTTGGTCAGAGGGGAGAATCCTGGCTAAGGGGTGCCGGAGGGGTGGGCAGCCGGCCCGGAGAGGCACCCAGGGAGGCAGGGCACAGGCCCGCTTTGCACAATCCCACCTTCCCTGACCCTGGCTTCAACCTGGGAGGTGTTACAATTAGCTAAATCCTTCAGCCCCTGGCAAGGCTCCCTGTGAGGAACTTTGATGACCACCCACCATGCTCTGGGGCCAGTGTCCCCTTCCCTGGGGACACAGCCGGGGCTCTGGGAAAAGCTAACATTTGTGCATAAATTCCCCCAAATCGTGTTTATAAAGTCTCTTATCGCTCAGTTAGTGAAAACCAAGAGAAGAGCCCAGTTCTTAAAAAAGAATCTACGTGAGAAGTCAACCCACCAAACCTAGAACTGGCCATTTGGAAACTCCCACATGTGGCAACAAGGGAACCTCACCAGAGTTTTGGCTTAAGTGACGAGAAAAAAAAAAAAACAAACAAAAACACTCGGCCTGGTATTTGAGCTCGGAACTTTTATTTCAGGAATGTATCTGCAGTCCCTCAACACAGATCAATCCTCAGACTAGCCCAAACGTGGAGGTCGAGAACGAAATGCACATTTCTTCTCCGCCTTTCCTCAAATAGATATTTTTTAACCATCTCCTAGTTGAGCCCAACTTAGAATGGCCTATAGGATCTCCCAGAGTTTTTAGGTGTTCCTTAGAAGCTTCTAAAGCAAGTTTTGGAAGAGAGACTAATAGCTGTAAAAATATAGACATATATATTATATATAGTTATATATATATATTTAAAGAGATAAATATATCTATATAAAATCACTGTACTCTCCGAATCTGTACAAAGTCTGATTTCAACAGCCCAGGTCGTGCACGCTGTCTAATGCATGAACGTCAATACCCTGAGATCTGCCTTCCTGACGGTGGGCCGGGGGCACACGCGAAGAGGGCTCCTGTCTCTAGGAGTTCTGTCACCGTGGACACACGTGAGGTCCGGGCCATCTTGTCCACCAGTGAGCGAGCCACTACTGTGGATTTTGTGCGGAGAGCACCCAGGGGGCAGGACCGGCAGCGTTGGGGGCGGGTGGGGGAGGCAGGCTGGATGCTACTTACAAGGAAGAAAGTACCATGCCTTTTTAATTTTCAATAAAAATATCCTTATAAAGAGGACTGTCCATTGTCTTCCGTGGTGGGGGGGTGGTTGGCGTGGGAAGGAGAGAGCTGGCTGAGCGTGGGGCTGCGCCCGTTCCTTGAGGCTCTGCTGCAAACCCAGGGCTGGGCTCCGTAACGGTAACCCACTTGCCTCATTTCCATATGGTTTCATCAGAATACCCCAAGGCTGGCATTGATGGGGACTCTGCGGTACCCATCCTGTCCCTCCTCCCTCCACCCAGCCACCTTGACCCTTGACTCAGTTGAGAAGAGGGTGCCCAACTGTCCCAGTTTGCCCGTGGTGCCAGGCAGATGGGACAGGCCAGTTATGCTAACTTGCCAAGGGCTCATGGGAATCGGGGGGGCCAGCAGTGGTGGGCCACGCTGGAGGGGAGATGGGTCAGGCCTGCGACCTCCTACTGGGTCCTTCCCCGCGTCCAGACTTCAGCCCCCCGCCCCCAGAGTCGGCTGGCAGGTTGGCAGCACCCCCCTCACCCGACCAGCGGCTGGGAGCACCGTGGTCAGCCTGCCCTGCACCTCCAAGCAGAGGGAGCCCAAGGGCCCAGAGCGCAGGCCGGCCCCAGGCTCACCTGCTCCCCCGACGGAGTGGAGTGTGAGCTGCCTGTGGGGTCTCCAGGCCCCTCTTCCAGCCGCGCCAAAGGCAACCCTTCTTCCCAGCGCTAGACAAAAGAGGTTCCAGTTCGATGGGCCTGAAGCCACGAGAGAGCGTTGCCCCTGCAGCAACGCCTTCCCCATGGGGGGGGTGAGGAGACGGGCTGGAGGTGGAGAGTGACAGCCAAGGGAACATGGACACGGCGGGGGTGGGCTGGAGTTTGAGCCCAGACAGGCGTCTTGAGCCATCAGCCATTCCCCTTGGTTGGGATGGTGCTGGGCCCCGCCCCCTCCGCTGGGTTCCCCAGGCTTCACTCAGTGGCAGCAACTGGGGGGGCCCGGTGTGCCCAGAGCTGGGGGCCAGGCGTCTCCCCACCCCGGCCCACAGCCCGGGGTGGGGGATGTAGTCAGCTCTGGGCAGGGCTCTGGGGGCAGGGCCTCCCTGAGCTGCCCGTTTGCCAAAACTTGACACGGGTCCTGGCACACAGCAGGTGGCGGCCACCACGGCTCCTACCATCACTGCTGTCATTCCGAAAAGGCTGCCATCAGGCCCTAGAGAAACTCTTCTGCCCACCGGCCGCCTGCCTGGGTCCCCTCTGGGAGGCCGGTGAAGGTTCGGAGGGACACCTCGGGTCCGGGACACACTGCTGTGCACTCTAGCCACAGCAGCAAGCCCGAGGCCCCGAGGCACAAGGCGAGGAGCCACAGGCCAGGCTCTGACCCCAGCAGGCACCCTGGGGACAGAGCAGGGCCAGCCTGCGAGGGGGCGGAGGGGTAGGGGGAGCGGGGGCAGGCCTTGGGGAGCTGGCAGGGCAGGGCAGCAGCACCAACCCCTGCTGGGGGCTGCCTCCCAGCCCAGCTCAGATCTCCGGGGCTTCTGGCCGCTTGTTCTGGCTCTGGTATCCGGCCCAGACGCCTGCCACCCTCCCACCGCCTCCCCCTGTGTCCTGCCACTGCCACCGAGGCGGTGGGACCCGCCTGCCTGTGTCCCTGGGCTGGAGTCACTGCCCCTGGCCGGTGGGTGGAGGAAAGGCTCCTCCTCCTTCCCTCCCCACAGCCTGCATGAGAGAAACACCTAGAACACAGTCCCGTGAGGAGGGGTAAGCAGCTGCGCTCGGTTCCAAGTGGTGGCCGCACCTTTGGGCACCCTCACTGGCCCACCTAACTAGTGACACCCCACTGGACCACTCCCTTCCCCCACCGCCCCCATCCCCTGCCCAGGCACAAATGCCATCATCAGCCCTGAAGAAAGTGCGGACAAATTCCCTGATGCAGGTCTGAGACAGGCTCCCCATCCCCAGCACCACAGGGCCACCCGGCCCAGGGTTCCAGACACCGCCGCTACTCTTCCTGTGTGGCCACATCTTAGCAGCTCTCTCTCAGAGGCCGCCTCTTCCTTGAACACCTGGAACACAAGCCACACGTGGGCAGAGCTGGGTGACTTCGCCTTCTCGGCTCAGTGCCCACAGCCCTGCATGCATAGCTCCGACTACCTACCCTCTTCTACGGAGTCTCTACGGAGACTT